TGAGTAACTCATTTAAGCGTTACAACCTGTAATATCGTAGCATTTCGAAATGAAAATTTTTATTGTAATAGAATTGATTCATATTTAATTATCGGGTTATGTTCTCCGTACTAAAATACCAAAAAATATTAAGGAAGAAAATAAATTTAACCACAGTAATAATAATAAAACAGCAGCAGTGATTTATTTCACACCTCAGTAATGTTGATATTTATGGACATTCCTATTTAGGCATACACGCAGTTAAACCATACAAAAACAATAAAAACAATAACAAATGTTAAGTAGCAACGATGAACAAGATTCGAACCGAGAAGTGAAGGAATAAATTAAAAGAAAAATTAGTACCATTAAAATGGCATGAAATAGGATGCATTTTTTTGAAGAAAATTTTTTTGTGTGCAAAATATTTTCAATTTTAAAAATAACAAGTAGGATATAAGCTTTAGTTACCATAGCAAAAAATGCAATATAGTCTTGAAAATTAATTATTTCACAAGTACGAAAAATGCACTTTAGTGTGGGTTAATGCACTTTAACTATTTTATGAAGTAAAAAATGTTGGTTTGGCTACTTAAAAAACAAAACTGTATAAAGTAACTAATTCACTTGCTAATTTATTTTTGAAGGTTTAAAGGAATTTAGTGGAGTATATTATTAAATTACAATTTTAAGCTGCACATTTTAGGTACGCTTGGTGCTAATTAAGTATGGGTACAGTATACAATATCCGTGTATTTATTTCACTTATACGATACGAGGTGCCAAATTTGCTTATGCATGGTATGTAGATGCTTATTTGAAGTTTATGTCGAAATTTAGGAAATTATAATTTAAATGTTTTTTGTGTTGCCGCTCATAAAATTCACATGAGCTGGTATGAAAACTTTTAGTTAAAAAATTTTATTTAAAATTATTTTTTCAAGATTTTGACATCATACACATGTGCGCTTTACGCAATTCCATGGCGTACGTACGTTGCACTTTGGCAATAAAACGACAGCAAAGCGGTGTTTGCAATAAATCAAACTGCAAATATTTTGTAATGCACATAAATCGATTGTATCTGCACACACAATATACGAGTAATACATGAAGAAAAAAATTTTTTTTAAAAATTTGAAATGAAAAAATATGAAGTCATAATGTCGTTTTATGAACAAATATGTCAAAAATGTTGTTAAAAATAAATGATTAGTCCAAATTTTATTGATAATAAATGTCTTACAAAAATAACAGAAAAAATATAAAATACGCTATGATATTATTAACATAATATGCAAATAATTATTTATGAAAATTAATTTATTTAATTATTTGCATTAAATATTACATGGAAATTTTTAAAATGCAACGGCTTTTTTTTTAGCAGGGAATCTGTCCTAATTTCAGTTGTTTTGCTTCAAAAATTTCTTATAATGAAATATCAGAGATAACATTTACATGATTATGTTATATCTCTGCTAACACTATGTTAAGTGAAGCGGTGGGTATGCTTAAGCAACAGTTTGCAAAGTAATTTACATATGGGCGGTAGCTATAAAATGCAGACTCCGATATGAAGTGTTAATCTACCTCCCCATGGACAAAGTGTTTTGTATAGATGTTTTGAAAATCTTATTACGAAAACTGAAAAGCTTTAAGTTTTCTGACTTCAGTTCGTTTTTTAACAACTGTTATTTTCTTTTTAATTTTGTACTATGCGGTTGAAAAATTTCATTAATTACAGTCTTGAATTATTAATTCAAGCGTATCGATGAATGCAACAGCTCACGCCAGACATGTTGGGGCGTTGAGATCAAAGAAAGGAGAGAAAAAAAATATTTGTGAGATTTTGAGATTGCTAATAGATTAACTTATTTTAAAATTGAAAATGTTGATGGAAAGAAAACTTATTAAATTATAGTTTTTACATAATTATGAAAAAATTGAATCAATTACTTTTTTTTGATTTATTATAAAGTTTTTTTTTTGTAAGAGTTTATATATACTATAAAATTATAATAGGTTTTCAATCGTCAGTTAATAATAATATATATTTTAAATTAAAATTTAAAACTTAAGTGAGGTTTATTGGAAGCTTCAATACCCTCCACAGAGATACCCATGTTGCAAAACAATGAATTATAATTGTTTTTTTAATCTTAGAAAATAACAAAAATTAAACTATATAAAAATTTTATTTATTATTTTTTTATTATATATTATTTTATTATTTTTATTATTTTATTATATATATTTCAATATGGGTTTTAGTTCTACAGTAGTTCCATAAAAATGTTAAATGAATAGTCAAGCAATTAAATTAAAACTAGAACTTTATAAAAAGTCTTTAATAAGCCTGTCTTTATAAAAAGCTTCTATGGAACATTTTATGCTATTAGATAGAATCCAGAAGACCAAGAACCATAAAAGGATTGGTGATACCTGCGATACGTTAACTGGTGCGCAACGGTTTTCAACTCTTGATTTACGAAACGGTAACTGGGAAGATGTTCGGAAGATAAGAGTGGTTCATTTGGGAATGTTTGGCGTATTGATAAATAGAATGACTGAAGGCAATGTTATGAATTTAGAAACTAAGTAAAATTAAAAATAGTTTTTTGTAGTATATGACAAACATATACTGTAAAATGTGTACATAAATATATACATATATATACAATTGTATATATAAATTAATAACCAAATAATGAATAATATATAACTAAATAATATTATTAATAATAAATAATAAAAAGGAATAGATTTAACTATCGAAAGCAAATATAAAGTCTTTTTTTTAAATAAAACAAATAAAATTAATTTTAAAATAAAAAATAATTTGTATATATATATTAATAACCAAATAAAAAAAACCAATACATAATATAATAAATATAACTATCCAAAGCAATATATTATTATTTTTAAATATATATTATATTATAATATATTTGTACAATTAAATATATAATATAGTTGTAGAATGTGTAAAATTTCTTTATATAAGAAAGTGAAATAAAATAATGACAAAAATTAAAATAAAACTAAATTTTAATGCTTATTTCTTTCTTATACTATATTAACTATTATTAACTATTATTTCCAAAAAAGTGTGTATAAGACTTGACATGACAGCTGAAGTGTGGCATTTGCACAAGGCATTTCCTCTCGAAAATAAATGTTTTTAGTGCGTTAAAAAACGTGATTTTGGGTCATCATAGCTTTTTCTGTATATCTATTGTGTTTCTATATAAATGGGTTTTCTATTGGGATTTATTTGGTGGAAAATTCATTACCGTTTTAATTGAGTTGTTACATGTCAAGTGCGCGTCGTACTCATAGCAGTGGCCGCATTTTTCTTCATAAATTATTGTGAGAACAACTTTCTGACCCCAACTGTCTTGGTCAAAGAAGAAAGTGAGTTTGAATAAAAATAAAAATTTATATTAACAAAGAATACAAAAAGAAGAATAGTCCGTCAATTTCGAATAGAATTTTAAACATATTTTAAATTTCTTTGTATAATTCAATGAAAGTAAATTAAGTATTAAATATAATGTTATAAAAAAATTTTACAGCTAAATTTTGCAAATAAGATAAAATATTTTTTTAAATAATATATTGTTAGCTGATGTAGTATACATCTACATACAATGTATCTCTAAATAGAACAGATACAATATAAATTAACACGATTGTTTAAAAATTTCAGTTAATATTTGTTTTCGGAATAAAATTCCTTTTATTGATAAGTTAAGCATATGACCCATATTTATTGAATTTATATAAAAAAGATTTATTTTGGTTGAAAAATTTTAGTTCTTTTCAATTATATATTTTGTGTTTTTTTGTTTTTATGTTAAGTTTTTATATATGCGAACATAGCTTATTAGATATAAGAATTTTAATTTTATTAAATTGATAATATATAGATTGACAATATATAGATACAATTTCAAACACGATTTAATTGATAAAATCTTAACAATTGAATTAAATAGTTTCTTTGTTAATTTACAATCTTTTAAATTTAATTAGGTTTTGGTAGGAATCTCTGGATAACCTGTAAACAACAAAACATGTTAATAGATTATCAATCCATCCAAGACAGTCTCAAACAGATTTCTAACACTAACCAGAGTCTCTGGATAACCTGTAAACAACAAAACATGTTAATAGATTATCAATCCATCCAAGGCAGTCTCAAACAGATTTCTAACACAAACCAGAGTCTCTGGATAAACTGTAAACAACAAAACAGGTTAATAGATTATCAATCCATCCAAGGCAGTCTCAAACAGATTTCTAACACAAACCAGAGAGGATATTAAAATATTTACAGAATTTTACATTGGTAGAGAAATGCTGCAGTCTGCAAGTTGAGATGTGCAGTTGCATAGAGATATTGTAAAGTGAGAATAAGATAAAGGCAAAGAAAAAGCCAATTGTAATATGTAACTAAAAATAACTTTGAATTTATCTTAATGGATTATCTTAATCTTTAGCAAACTCTTCATTTC